TGATGACCAAGTTCATAGCAAGTGCAGAAACGAGATTTCAGAACCAAGAGGCATCGATCAAGAACTTGGAAACTCAAGTGGGGCAGTTGGCACAGATGATATCTTCTAGAGTCCAAGGTGCTTTACCCAGCAATACCAAAGCAAATCCAAGAGAGTAGGTGCAAGCCATTACCTTGAGGAGTGGCATGGAGCTGCAAGAGGTGGAGAAGAAAGCAAAGGAAGAAGGTAAGGTGAGCGCAACCCTAGAAACTGAAAAGGAGGAGGAAGAGCAATCTGATTCAAAGAAAGAGAAAAGTCAACAGMCGCAAGTACCATTTCCGAATAGGGTAAAGCAACACAATTTGGAAAAGGAATTCGGTAAGTTTCTTGAAATTTTTAAGAGTTTACATATTAGCATTCCTTTTGCATATGCTTTAGCCCAGATGCCACACTATGCAAAGTTCCTGAAGGAGATATTAGCAAACAAAAGGAAACTGGGAGATGTGGCTACAGTTGCACTGAATGAAGAATGCTCAGTAATCCTCCTCAACAAGCTGCATCGGAAACTGAAAGATCCAGGGAGTTTCACTATTCCTTGCACTATAGGCAGTTTGAAAATTAATAAGGCATTGTGTGATTTAGGAGCTAGTATAAATTTGATGTCATATTCGGTTTTTAAGAAATTGGGGTTGGGTGAACCCCAACCCACTAGAGTTGCATTGCAGTTAGCTGATAGGTTCATCAAGCATCCTAGGGGAATCATAGAAGATGCAATTGTTAAAGTTGATAAATTCATTTTTTCAGTAGATTTCATAGTGTTAGACATGGAAGAGGACGTTGATGTCCTGCTTATCCTAAGGCAACCCATCCTAGCTACAGGAAAGGCAATGGTTGATGTCCAAAAAGGACAACTCAGCTTTAAGATTCAAGATGAGGAATTAACTTTTAAAATGTCTAATGCTATAAAGCATGCATCTTCTAGTGATGATTCCTGTTGTATGATAGATGTCATTGATTATGCGGTTGGTGGATGTTTTCAGGTCAACGGTCAGCACCTCAAACAATATATAGCGGATGGAGCATTGCCTACCCCATCAACTGTGTACCTAGATGTTCATTGATCCCACTGTAACGTCGAGCTTCAGACGGTAAACAAGCGCTTATTGGAAGGCAACCAAATGCTGATGAGTAGTTTTTTTTTTTATTTACTTGTGTTTCTACTTCTCTTTTTCGTATCATTCGAGTTTCTTTTCTAGGATGTTAATTTTGTAGATTGCTGATCTCTCTTAGTGTTTATCATTCTCTCCTCCTAGTTTCTTTTGATCTTAGCAGATAGAAGGTCCAAATGAAGGAGCCATTCCAGATTTCAGAATGCTNTCTTTTTCGTATCATTCGAGTTTCTTTTCTAGGATGTTAATTTTGTAGATTGCTGATCTCTCTTAGTGTTTATCATTCTCTCCTCCTAGTTTCTTTTGATCTTAGCAGATAGAAGGTCCAAATGAAGGAGCCATTCCAGATTTCAGAATGCTCTTCAGGGAAGTTCTCTAAACCCCTTGAAATGCTTGAAGTCCCACTGCTCATATTGCTGATTCATCCTTGAGTTTTTTTTCTATATGAACATTGAGGGCAATGTTCATGATAAGTGTGGGGGAGGCTATAGCTGTGCACCTCAATCACCCCAATAAATAAATGCATTGATAGACTGCATAAACTGGAAATTTCCTCAAGATTATTGTTGTTTATAAGGTGAATTCCAAGAGGGAATACGATGAAGTCGAGGGAAATCACTGGTAAGTGCTAGAATTTGTTCCTGTGATTGATCCAATTTTATAACAATACTTGAGGATGAGGAAGTCAAATAGGACTTTCATCATGACCAGCACCAACTCTACTCATGTGTATAGTGTGCTTGGTTGAAATCTTACTGATCATTTGATCTATTAATGCACATCTGAACTGTTAATGCATGAATTTCAACAATTGCAAAAAAAAAAGAGAAAAGAGAAGAAAAAAGGGACAAAGCCCGAATTACTCCGTTGTCATGAACTAAATAGTAAAACTAGCGGTTCATGATATGAGTTCAGTCCCAACTCTGCTATTCCAAGTTGAATAGTAAAACTAGCAAATAGGAATATGAGTACTGTTATCTGCCTCTAGCCTGTAACCCATGTGAGATTGAGCATAAAATGCACTCACACCAAAAAAAAAGAGAAACAAAAGAAAGAAAATAACTCGGTGACGGCTGAGGTTCAAAGGGACAAAAATATAGTTGGAAATTCAATTTAAGGCATTGACAGATTTGAGACCAAGCTCGAGGTGATGGTTAATTATGGCGGTAAGGAGCTGCTATACATATTAAACGGAATTGAGTGCTGGAGCATGAAGAATCTAATGTTCTCCCTTCTTTTGTTCACATGTATGTGGTAAGAGTGGCCAATCATGGGGATGAATCAGAATGTTTATGCAGGTTTTCCGACCACTTAATATATTCTCATCCTAAAAGTCATTCGGTAGATGGTAATAATCTAGGGAATGATCAATTTATGGGTAATATCTTTGCTTGAGGACAAGCAAAAGCTTAAGTGTGGGGGAGTTTGATGTGTGCGTATGCTACACATCATTTTTTATTGTTGTATACATGTTTTAATGATGATTTGCAATGGTTTTTACCCTAATTGAGCATAATTGCAGGAAACTAGGAGTTTGGGACAATCTAGGGTGAAGAGAGCATAATTAGGCCCATCAAGAAGAAAAGCCCAGCCAAAACCCCATGGGAAGCACTAAAGCCACCAAGGAGAGAGACCCAACTGTAGCCCAATTGAAGCCTTATAGGAGAACATCAGTTCGGCCCATCAAGGAGAACAACCCAACAAAAGTTTTGCCCACTAAGAACTGCAGCCCAACCGCAGCCCTAAAGGAGGCCCCAAAGAGGCGGCAAATTTTAGAGAATGAAGGTGGCTGAAGGGAAGAGTATAAAAAGAAGGAAAAAGAAGAAATTAGGGTTCGGACCCCTGAAGACAAAACCAAAGAAGAAGAAGAACTACTGGAGGGAAGAGATAGAGTTGTTGAATGCGAATTGAAGAGGAGATCGAAGATTGATGCAAAAATCGTAGGTTGTCTTCTTCTTTGATTCCGCAATGTGGTAACCTAGATTCGATTAGGTTTCTTGATGTTTCTTTATTGAATCTTTCTTTCTTCTTTCTTTCATGCGAACCATGACGGACTTCAAATCTGATATGTAATTAATATTTTACCAGATCCGATTGATTGTGATTCATTCTTGTGATTCTTGATTAGGGTTTTTAGTTAATAGAATCATCTTGGTCGAATTGTTCTTATTTCTTGGATTACTTGAATTGCTTGAGAAAGAGTTTAGGTAATCAGATCATCTAATCAACAAAATGGACTGAATGCATCTTAGAGATAATTTACATGGTTCATTTGGCATTCATTCATACTTGAATTGATGACCTTTGAATTCTGTGTTCTTAATGCATATATGGTGATTAAATTTCTGATAGAGATATAGGAATTATTGCTCATAGATAGAGTGGGTTGTGCTCGAGAGAGGCTGATTATAAAATTAGGGTTTCGCCAACCCAAGACTGAATTCACTTTGGTTGGGCTGCTTAAAGATTTAATTCTTGAAGTAGATGCGCTACTGTTGCTGGAGGGAGATGAGTGAATGGTTGAGTTGCTGCTACCAGCATATGGACTAGCTGGTTCTAGAGGTTTTGTCACAGGGGTTATACTAGCATCTTCTGTAACTTGAGGTGCTGCAGGTGTTGCATTGTCATTGTTCCATGCCCAAGTTTCTTCTTTGTTGAACTTAACATCCCTGCTTATAATTACTTCGTCGCTCACAGGGTTATACAACCTATATGCTTTGGATTGAGGGCTATAGCCAACAAAAATGCATTTTTTTTTCATCAAATTTGTTGCGGGTTGGAGAAGTAACCAAGGCATAGGCTCTACAACCAAAAATTTTTAAGTGGCTTACCCGCGGCTTCCTACTCTTCCAAGTTTCATATGGGGTCCGGTTCATTACAGCCTTTGTACGCGAGATATTGAGAAGGTATACTATTGTTGCCACTGCTTCTACCCAGAATTGATTAGGAACACCACTTGCTTTCATCATGCTTCTTGCCATTTCAATCACCGTTCGATTCTTCCACTCAGCCACACCATTTTTCTCTGGTGTGTACGGTGCCTTCAACTCCTTGTGAATGCCATTTTACTCACAGAAAACATTAAATTCATTAGAGATAAATTCACCACCCCTATTGGAACGGAGAGCCTTTATACAACGCCCACTTTGCATCTCCACTAATGCTTTGAATTTCTTGAAAGTTTCAAAAGTTTCTGATGTGAATGCCATATTTTTGCATCACTAGCTCTTCCAATCAAGGCACAATTTCTTACTTCAGAGACTTCTAACAGAAACATTTTATTTTGTCCCATAAGAATGCTAACTATTATATGCCCTGTTTTCTTATCTTGGACAGAACAACAACCATCATCAAACAAAATAGAGTATCCACCATCCATCAATTGCCCAACACTCAACAAATTACGAGCTAAATTAGGAACATATTGCACATCATAGAAGAGTTTTACATTACCTTGTGAGGTTTTGATGCCAATTGTACCTTTCCCTTCAATTTGCATATGCTTGTTGTCTTCGAGTCGAACTTTGCTTTTCTGTGAATCGTCAAGTTCTTTAAAAAGAGACTTTGTTCCAGACATATGGTTGGAGCATCCACTGTCCAGAAACCACACTCCATTGGAAGCATTATCAATAGGAGNGACCCACAATTCAATTTGGAAGGCTTCGATTGTGGTCGTGGATTCAGAAATATGACCTTTGCACCATTAATTGTATATGGCTAGACTTTAGAACAGTCGAGGTGCTTATGCATGTCATGGAGGCGGACCACATCGTTATAGACATATCTGTGGATCTGAAGTAGTAGATGAAGGTAATGAGCAGACRAGGAGAGGCAATGCTAGTAGACGCATCGATTACAATCGACACAGTACACATTAATCTTGTCCTTCTTGAGTTSCTGATGACCRAAGCAAGGTCCAAAGAATGGACAGTTGGCACCATAGAGGGTGCACCAYAGTATCTTTATTGGCTGTTGTCGGCTCTTTTTYAGAWTGGCCCATTGTCGCCCACTTCATACTGGCTTAAGAAGCCAGCCCATCAAGACTTTTGGGTTGACCCATAAAGGTCTCCATTAAAGTCTTAATTGGCCATTGTTGTCCCTTTTCAGATTGGCCCGTTATGGCCCATTTCGTATTGGCTTAAACAACCAGCCCATCGAGGCATTTTGATTGACCCATTGAGGTCTTCTCTTTTTTTTTTTTTAGAAGCTCCCACCAAAAAAAAAGTAACAGGTTTTCATCATGCCAACTRGTCATCATCATCATCCCAACAGGCTTGTCATCATCCTCAAAATAGAACACCATCAAGATCGTCATTTCTTCATCTACATGTCACATCCCCGCAGCTATCATCATATTGTAGCCATTTGTGATCAAACACATGAAGATATCCGATCCCCATGTGTTTGAGGGGGCGTGTTAGGGAATTGAGATAAGATTTGATATATGGGCTATTATGATAAGGGTGATTAGGAGTTCTCATTAAGATAGAGTTTGTTATGATAGGATAGAATTTGAGATAGATTAAGATAAACTATATAGAGTCCTAGTGAGAGTCTAAGAGTTTGAGTTTGAATAGGTTTGATGTTTGATTTTAGTCTATAAATATGATGTAATTACAACACTCATCAATGCATTGTTTTCTAGTCTTCTTTTGTATCTATCAAGAGAGAGGAGATAAATGAGAGGATGTCACCAATGAACTTGCTAGAGTTTTTTCCTTTTCYGTGCAATGATCACTAGCGAGAAAATCAAATTTCTCATTGTCAAAGATTTCTCACCAAASAAAGTCATTATTTTTCCTTTTCTGGKGACAATCAAAGGTATTTTTGAGTCAATTAGGTTTTAAGAGAAAATGCCAATAAAAAGAAAATAAAGTGGTCTTTTGGAAATATTCTATCCAATATTAGTTACTCATTA